GCGTCTGGACCCGAGCGCCTCCGGAGAGGGCAGGTGGCGAGGTCTCACCTGGAGTGAAAAGGCTGAAGCAAAGTGGCCGAGGCCCTCAGTGCCTTCAGTGGCCACGCCGTGGAGCCCCGGGGCACACTGCGATTGCGATGGCGGGTTGGCCTGGTGCCTAATTCAGACGAACCCTCCGTCCCCAAACCGCGGGCATGAGCCAAAGCATCCACAGTTCATGTGCTGAACTGTGCCCCCCAAACCCACGGACGAAGTCCGAACCCAGCACCTCAGGATGGGACTGCATTTGGGGTGAGTCTTTAAAAAGGTGATTAAGTTAAAGGGGGTTCTGTGTCCTCGGGAGGAGAGACCAGGACACAGAGGTAAGACCACGTGAGGACACGGGAGAAGACGGCTGCCCACACGCCAAGGAGAGGGGTGCAGAGATACCAGTGCTGCCAACACCGTGTCCGACCTCCGGCTCCGGGACTGTGAGAAAACACACTTCCGCATCACTCCGGCCCGCGGTGTTTTTCATGCAGCTCCAGCCGACGAAGACGGAGGCCAGGCGCCTGTGTGCCCGGTGCACAGCCCACAGGCAGGGAGCACTGGGAGCCTGGGCCCTGGCCTCAGGGCCGGCGAAGCGCTCCTCTCTGCCCCTCCCACACAGAACTTCCGGGCCTGGGGCGAGGGCAACGGCAAGAGCAGAGCGGGAGCCAATTGCTGGGCCGGGGGAGAGCACGGCCAGCAGCACACTGGGGTGCGGGAGGAACTGGGCGCAGGGTTTTCTACAGTCTTCCTGGAAGCATTAGCTCAGACTGGGCTTTGCCCAAGCACCCCCTCTGGCTGGAAACCTGGAGTAGGACAGACACCCAGGGCACAGATAGAGGACAGAATGTTAAGCTGTGAGGAGGCCCAGCGGTGTGCCTGGGGACCAGGTCTTATTTAACACCTTCATTAGTGATCTGGAAGGAGCAGTAAACAGCACATTAATTAAATTTCCAGATGATACTACACTTGGAGGTGCCACAGAAAGTCAATGAGGACAGAGAAATGGTGCAGAAGGGATCTGAAGAAGTCAGGAGAGTATAAAAAAAAAAAGCTAATTAGGAACTTCCTATACCCTGGAACCCCGACCACTGCTCCCCCCAGTGACTGGAAGGACAATGCAGTGCCCCTTGTCGTCTCAGCTCTCACGGGGCACACCCTCGGTTCCCACGTCAGGAGCGGGCGGACTCAGCAGTGCTCAGGCAGACCCTTGGCGGTCAGAATCTCCTTCCGCTATTCACAACCCAGAGCCACACAGGTCTGCCACACGGGGCCCCAGGCCCCGCTAGGAGCCCACACTCAGGAGGGGCTGGGCAGGTACACACGTCTGAGTGCCTGGGACACAGCAGTCCTGGCGCAGGCTGTTCACAGACAGGCCTGGGCCTCTGGGCCCAGAGGGGCGAGGCCAGCACTCGGGACCGACTCACCGAGCAGCGGGATATCTGGGTCTAAAGGCCCCAGTTAACCTGCTGCACTCCCACGCTCACAGCAGCATTGTTACAACAGACACATCCTAGTGTGCATCGATGGATGAATGGATATAAAAAACACACATAGCACCCAACCTCCACACGCACAATACATACCACACACACAGCACACACCCTCCACATGCACAGCACACACCCTCCACATGCACAGCACACACCGTCCACACATACAGCACACACCGTCCACACAGCACATGCCCTACACACAGCACACACAGCATACACCCTCCACACATACAGCACACACTGTCCACACAGCACATGCCCTACACACAGCACACACCCTCCACACAGCACACACCCTCCACACACAGCACACACAGCACATGCCCTCTACATACACAGCACACACCGTCCACACATACAGCACACACCGTCCACACAGCACATGCCCTATACACAGCACACACAGCATACACCCTCCACACATACAGCACACACTGTCCACACAGCACATGCCCTACACACAGCACACACCCTCCACACAGCACACACCCTCCACACACAGCACATGCCCTCTACATACACAGCACACACCGTCCACACGCACAGCACACACCGTCCACACACACAGCACACACAGCACACACAACACACACAGCACACACAGCACATGCCCTCTACATACACAGCACACACCGTCCACACGCACAGCACACACTGTCCACACACACAGCACACACAGCACATGCCCTCTACATATACAGCACACACCCTCCACACGCACAGCACACACCGTCCACACAGCACATGCCCTCTACATGCACTGCGCACACAGCACACAGCCTCCACACACAGCACATACCCTCCACACACACAGCACACATAGCACACGCCCTCTACATGCACTGCACACACAGCACACGCCCTCCACGCAGTCCCTCTGGGCTCCATCTCCAGGGAGACACCCGCAGCCGCCCCTCTGCTTAGCGCAGCGATTCCAGTGAAGAGTCCGTCCAGCCTAGTTTGTGAGTCCCAGAAAAACGAGAGCCCACACATATTTAAGTGCTAAAGTGGACACAAACCATTTTTATTCTAAAACACACTGACTTGGTGTGGGAGGGCCGGGAGGGCCAGGCGAGGGTGTGGCGTGCCTCCTGAGGACCCTGGAGGTTCTCTCGCCATCATTTCCCAGCTTCTCCCTTTCAAGGTGAAACTAGCTTCCTGGCAGCCGCTCGTAAGAAAACCCCTCTCCCCAGCTGAGCACCTGCCCCCCTCTGATGCGCAGAGCACACGGAGGGGCTTCGCAGACGCAGCGTGTGCCTCGGACGGCGGCTGTGCTGCGCCGCGCCGGGGGTCCCTTCTGCCGTCTGCAGGCCGGGCAGTCTCCGTGGACTCAGCTCTCCCCCGGCCGCTCATGCCTCCGTTCGCCCAAGGAATGTCAATCACTCATCCCCACTTCTCTCTCCTGGCGCCGGAGAGGCCTGTGAGAACTGCTGAGCTCTGAGCCCTGCTTTGAGAGCCCCGGGCGTCTCAGGATCCGGGTCCGAGCCTCCCCCGGGTGACCTGCAATCTGAGAGCGGAAGGTGGCCCTGAGCTAGTGGGCTCAGAGCACCCCCACAGCTTCCTGGTGACGGCAGCGTGGCCATCCTCTCTGCTCACCCCTCAGGGCGGAGGCCCACACGTCACCCTGGGCCCGGCTTCGCTGCCCGCACAAGGCCCGAGGGTAATGGCTCCTCTCATCAGCATGTGCTCACAACAGCCATCGACCGATCCGAGCCCCGGGGAGCGGAGCGAATCGCCAGGCAGCCGCAGCTCACCCTCCGCCTGGGTCCAGCGTGCTGCCGCCCCATGGGGACCGGGGGCTGAGCGGGTCCCTGGGCCTGGGTGTGCGTTAGGGCATGCCCATGCCCGTGTCAGGTCAGCGAGAGGACAGCAGTGCGCCTTATTCTGCCACGTGCTTTCTAGCAAGGTCTTGGAGTCCGTGACAATACTTAGAGAAATGCCAGGGAAGAGCAAGCAAGCTTGGCTAACGGATCAGCCAAGGACACAGCCAACCGGCGGAGGGAGGGCGGGGGAAGGACCAGAGTGAGAGCCAGAGAGAGGACGCTAGCGCCCCCTGCTGCCTAAGAGACGCCATGGGTACAGCCAGCCACCACATGTGCATCCACACCACATAGACACCACAAACACTTAACACACATGTAACAGGCACACATGATAGACACACGGCACACACTGCAGACAGGTGTGCACACAGCATACATATGGCAGACACGCGTGACACAGATAAGACAAGCACATACAAAACACATGCAACAGATACACATGACAGACACACAAACAACCCGTGACAGGTAAATACAACAGATGCTCACACGTAACAGACACACACACACACACCAGACAGAAGCAATGGTGTGAACCATTTCTAATTCCGAAAAAGTGGAAATGCTAATATGACACCAAAACTCGAGGTGGTCTGCTCCAGGTTCATGGCCAGGAAGGCAGGAAGCATCGGGCACAGATATGTATCTCTGCTTTGCCCCTGAGAAGCTGTGTGGCCCCAGGCAAGTAACTTAGCCTCTCTGAGCCTCTGCTACCTCATCTGTAAACCAGACAGACTAATTCCTATATCAAAGGGTCATTAAAATGAAAATCAGAAAGAAAAAGGAAACGAAGGTGGTAAAGCCACAGTTTTAAACGCAGTCCATTAAAGGCCATCTGAAACCCTAGAGGCCCGATGCACGGAATCTGTGCATGTGAAAGTCGTCAGGACGGTCTTTGTGCTGTTGGGCCCAATTAGCACATCAGCTCTGTATTACAGAGGACGCTTTTATCCATGGCGCCACCGAGGCCGTGAGAAGGACCTGGACGCGGGAGTCAGAGCGCCATGCAGACCTAACAGATCGTGGGGACAGGGAGGCGGCGCACTCAGGACTCTGAAGGCAGAGGGCAGCCTGAGGTTCTAGAAGCCGCACCTGGAGCCACACACCAACAGGGAGACACCTCCACGCGTGTTCCAGCCCACGGGAAGGTGAGGCAGAGCGTGACACTGTCTAGGGTCACGGACGCTGACACGCGTCCTGGCTCATGGACACGTGAAGAAAGCACGTTAGGAACTCCGCGCAACCCAGAGGCTTTCCTCGGCCCGCGTCACGGGAAGAAGCAGCTGGCGATGACGGGGAAAGGAGGATTGGGGAGGCGTGTCAGACGCTTGGGCGGGCACCCGGTGAAAGGTCCCCGGACACGAACCCCCAGTGCGTGTGCGAGGAGAGGTTACAGGTCCTGACAGGCGTGTCCTGGCCGCTATCACACACACAGGCAGCAGGGATGCTGTCCTGTATCCCAGGACCCCGGCGGCCCCTCCCCGCCCTGAGGGATCAGATCCAGAAACAACGAGGCTCCAGGCCTGGCACCAGGGGCCCAGAGGAGCACCACCTCTGTGGACACAGCGCCTTCACTGGCCAGACCCTACGAATCACGCACCAACCCACAGCAGCCCCCCGAGGGCGCCCTCAGGATGGGAGAGGCTGTACTCACTCTTACTGTAGCAGGTGGCCAGCACGCCCTTGTCTGCGGGGCTGGCACTGATGTGCCAGATTTCACCCACTTGGTGGAGGAGGACATTCTTGTTTATGATGTTGTTTTCATCGTCAAAGTCTATGATGTGGATCTACAGACACAAAGAGAGCAAGCAGGTCAGGAAGTCCGTGGCAGAGCAGTGACTCAGGCGAGGGCAACGGACGTCTGCAGTGGGACTCCGGTTAGCTGACAGTGCACAGTCCGCACGGCCAGCTTACGACTCTCTTCTCAGAGTCAGGCATGACGTCCCGTGTTGCTAAGGTGGCAATCACATTACACGGGTCCTAGAGAGACGACACACCCACCCAAGCTCTGAGCCGGGCAGTCATCCAGGGGAGTACAAATCGGCCCAGAGCCTCTGGGACCTGCTGGACGGCTGTGGGAGGGGAGGGGAGGGGCGGGCCTGGGACTGACCAGCTCTGCCCACTCTCGGTGGGCGTGGCACATCAGCGCCCCCTCTCCCCCCAGGGGTGAAGAGAGAAGGACTGAGATGGGACTGTACACCAGCACACCTTAAACTTCTTTTTAAAACTGAGTCCAACAGCTGAAACCGGTTTGGCTCAGTGGATAGAGTGTCAGCCTGCAGACTGAAAGGTCCCAGGTTCGATGGGTCAAGGGCATGTACCTTGGTTGCGAGCACATCCCCAGTAGGGAGTGTGCAAGAGGCAGCTGATCCAATGATTCTCTCTCATCGATGTTTCTAACTCTATCCCTCTCTCTTACTCTCTGTAAAAAAATCAATAAAATATATTAAAAATTAAAAATAAAAAAATAAAAAAACGATTCCAACAGCTGTCAACTCTTTGGTCCTATAATAGGGGTGTCGAACTCAATCAGAGAAGGGGCCAAAATCTAAAATCCAGCCTAAATCATGGGCCGAATGGTTTACTGAACAGTCATAAACTGTCATTGTGATGGAAACGCAGTGGAGTGCAGTGATGACAGCGCGGTGCGGGCCACATTGCAAGGCCTGGCGGGACGGATTTGGCCCGCGGGCCTTGTGTTTGACACATGTGTCCTATAACATCTACATATATAAAAAGCTAATATGTTAAGTGTCTGACCATGTGACCAGTTGCTATGGCGCACACTGACCACCAGGGGGCAGATGCTCAATGCAGGAGCTGCAGAACTGCAGTGACTTGGCAGCGGCAGTTCTTGAGTGACGCACCCCGAAACCAGAGAGGAGGGAGCCCGATTCCTCGCGGGGCCATGTGATTCCACCTTCGGCCGTGGGTTATGTTGTTGCTGGGGCACTGTCGGCCCTGAATCTGGTTACTGCACACCTGAGTTTGCATTCCACACCCTGTATGTACGACAGCAACTTTGCAGAGGGCCCTCTCGCACTCCGGGACCCCTCGGGGGATGTCAGAGAGCCAATTTCGGCCGATCCTTGCAGGCCAGGCTGAGGGAGTCCACCTGCCGAAGGAAGGCGCCGGGAAGGGACTGCAGGAGGCTGGCTCAAGGCATGTCTGGCCTGTCTCGCCCAGTCCCGCCCTGCTGGTCACCTTCTAATTAATTTCCTTTCAATGTGCACGAATCTGTGCACTTGTCCCCAGTTAATTTTAATAATGACTAGAGGCCCGGTGCACAGATTTGTGCACAGGTGCAATCCCGCAGCCTGGCCTGTGGGGATCAGGCAGAAACTTAGCTGTCCGACATCCGGATTTGTGCACTGAGCTGGTTTCAGCCTGATCCCCAAGGCCAGGCCGAGGGACCCCACTGGTGCATGGCACCAAGCCTCTAGTGTGCATATAAGATCTCTGGTTAATCTTATCTTCTTCCCCCCAACCTGCCCGCCCTTCCCTCTGAGATTCATCAATCTGTTCCATGTTTCTCTGCCTGTGTGTTGAGCATCTGCCCCCTGGAGATCAGTGAGCATCATAGCTACTGGTCATTAAGGCTTTTATATATAGTAGTATAGATTAGGCATTTGTACCAAGAAAATAATAGTGGGCCCGCACAAAGATTTCTATCAGAGAATGTTTGCTGCGGCGTCGATTGTGGTAATGAAAACTCAGAATCCCCCGCAATATCTGGGACAGGGAGGCTCGGCTAAGCTGTAGACCCGACTGGGCTGAATATGAGAAAGCAAAACTTCCCTTGGGAAAAGGTAAGGACCACCTCTGAGCCAGACACTTCCTGCCCCGGAGCACAGCCCTCCCCAGGGTCAGAGGAACGGCCCTGGCTGGAAGGCTGGGCTCACCCCCACAACAGGTACCCCCTTACCTCCCCCCCAGCCTTGGCCTCGTCATTAATGCGCCCCTGCCTTGTCGTCCATAACAAAACAGCTCCCTGCTGGCCGGGCCTTTCCTTAAGAAGAAGACGTAACAGGCAGACGGCAAGCGGCCAGCGCCAGCCCTTCACTCCGCCCACAGCAGGCGGTCTGCTCCGCGCCACAGGCTCTGACTCCGCCTCTTCCTGGTGGAGTGTCGTTGGGCGAGCCACCATCTGGGCTCCAGCACTTGGAAATGTGGGGCCTGAGCTCTAAGATCCCTGGGACACATGCCCGATCCTTCAGAGAGCCTTTAATGGTGAGTGACAGTTACATGTGACCAAACCCCTGGTCATGCCACAGCACGGCTACCATCCACCCGTCCGGACCATACTCTGCGTGAGCAAACGAGGCCCGCACGCCCACATCCGTCCATGATCCAGGATGTGCTCAGCAGCCAGGAAAAGACCCCTCCAACCTCAGCGCCCACAGGGGGGTTCTCGGACAGAAGCAGTGCAGTCCATCCGGGCCAACCCGACACGTCTCGGGCTGTGCGTCCTGGCCACTGAGCATGAGGGACGGAGAGAAATGTGAGGGCCCTAACTCAGCAGGCCTCCAGAAAAACACAGGCATGGGCGCCACGGCATCTCAGCTGCACGCTGAGCCCTGGTCCAGCCTCACCCAAAACAGCCTCCTCGAGATGCTTCCAGGACACAGGGCATACATTCCTGTCTCATTAATGGGGTGGGGGGAGGGGCAGGGGAGGTCAGGGGAAGAGGAGAGAAATGGAGGGTCAGTTAGCCCGGCCAGGGGCCCCGGAATCTGATTCCCAACAAGGGTGGCCAAGGACAGAACCTGCCGGCAGAGGGGCACCGTGTGACAAAGCTGTCCTTAATCAAAATGCAAACACAGGACCCTGGAGCTCACACATTAGAGAGAAAAATTACCGGAGAGCGCTGGGTGGGAGCCAGCTGTGCTGTCCTCCCCAGAGGGCCATCCCTGCCTCCTCCTGGCCAGCTGGGCACTCGTCCCCCACCGCGCAGGAAAGGGGTTTGCATTGTGCAGTGAGACCCGTGGGGAAGTACAGGGCAGAGGCCAACCCCTCCCCCCGGAAACCCCTGGACCTGGCCTCTGCCAAGCTGCCCCCACAACCACCTCACCCCCTCCTCACGGCGGAGAACCCAGACAGACTCAGAGGGGCTCCTCCTGCCATCAGGGAGCCCTGTGCAAACCAAGGGCACAGACAAAGCGCTTCCTGTGACAGCTCCTCATCTCCGGGACCTGCAGCCCAGCCTGATGGCTGCGGGAGGAGCTGAGGCCTGAGGCACAGCCGGGGGCTTCAGCCCAGCACGGGGGGGGGGGGCGGCGGGCATCAGAGCAAGCAGAGGAGCTGAGATCCATTGTCACAGCTCCCGCAGCACAGCCGGACCTGAGCTGTCACCACCTGGCGCGGCGAGCCTGGGCCTGGGCCAGCTGTCTGACGGGACGGGAGCTCCCGCACCTCCGTCTGTGGGGCTGCACAGACAGCACAGCGAGTGTTCAGGACACACCCGCTCAGGGCACGTGCTTCATAAGTGCAAGCTGGGGGGGAAGGTCTTAGCCACAGGCCTGCCTCATCCGCGCTGGGTCACCTCGGAAAACCACGTGACTGCCCAGGGCCAACGTCCTCATCTGATTGGAAATGGGGTCAACACCACCAGTTCTGTCCCCTGAGGTAGCAGGTGTGGGAATGGCCTGAACCGGCCCCAACCTTGAACTTGACCCCAGGATCAGAGGCTCCTGCAGCTACTTTCAGCTCTCAGCTGTGTCCTGGGAGCCTATGTTTACCTTCTGGCCTGCCAACAGGGCCCCCGGGCCAGCACCCGGCCGTGCCCCCCCACCAGCACCCGGCTGTGCAGCCCCCCATTAGCACCCGGCCATGCCCCTCCACCAGCACCTAGCTGTGCCCGCTCCAGCTGCTGGAGGACACAGAGGCTCCGGTGGCCACCCAGGAGCAGTGCAGCTCCAGCCCTCACAGAGGACACAGCCCAGGGGAGGGTGCATGAGACAGGCCTGGCGACAGTCTCTGTCATCACACACTGGACAATCACATGTGACGTGGCTGGGAAGCACAGGAACACAAGCACACACAGCTCCTCTGCAGAGAGAAGCAGGGCTGCGAGGGCTGTGCTCACCACGCGTCTCCTCTTCCGGCTGCGGGGCCGTTACAGCCAGCACAGGCCTCAGCGGCGCCTGCGGGAGCCCCTGCACACACACATCTCGTGTGGCAGGAAACACACGTCACATGGGAGAGGAAGACTCACATATGAGAACAACACAGGCCATCCACAAGAGAAACATGCATGCTGCTTGTGGGAGGAAGCATGGGCCACGTGTGTTGTGTGTGCACTGGATGTGTCATGTGAGAGAGTCGTGTGTGGTAGGAGCCCATGTTTCACATGGGGAAACACACATGTCTCCTTGAGAGGGATGCCATGTTGTGCGAGGTGGGAGGGCTGTTTCCAGCAGCGCAGGGGAGCAGAGCAGGTGTGTGTGGGCCCCTCCCTGCTCCCGGCCAGGCTCCGTCCCGGGAAGGAGCCCACCCAGCACGGAGGACACAGGCCCCCGGCAAGTGGACACGTGGCATCCCAGCCTGAGGCTCGGCGGAACACCACCTTCCCCGTGGTGCAGCTCCAACGCCACCAGATAGGAGGGCGCAGCACCTGGGTCCACGCCACCATGCACCCGCCTGTCACCACGGCCACTCAGCGTCCACACGCCCTACCGTGCTCGCACTGAGAGCGCCCTGAGCAGGACGCACCAGCTGTGTTCCGTGGGCCGGCACGCCCACAGCGAGGGGACCGAGGCCTGTGAGCACCCTCGTAAGCGCTTGCCGAGCGAACCACGCATGCCCGACCCAGCAATACCGAGCACCTTCCCAGAGCAGCATGGGACACTCAAGACCCGTCCTGGGAACCTGTGTGCAAACACCCGTACAGCGGCAGGGGGGAAGGAAGTCGTGAGACCGTCCATCACGCCACCCTGGCTGGAAACGGACCCGAAGCCGGAGCCACAGACTGAGTTAGAGCTCAGTGAGGACGCCGGAGGGACCGGGACAGGGGCAGTGGTCCTGCCGCCTGCTGGAGGGTGTGGGAGAGGTTCCCAACAGCCAGTACGTCTGACCCTGCAGTGAGGCTGAGAGCCGTCCCCGTGTGGCCGTGAGAGCGGGGCAAGGCCCTGCGGTCAGACACGGGCCGTGTGCGTGGCCTTTCCCCGTCAAGGACAGCGCTCATCCTCTCCTCCTGGCCCTGCGAGGTGCCGACCACCCACAGCCTCACCTGTGTGCGTTGAGGAGATGAAGTCCAGCAAGGTTAGTCCACTGCTCAAGGTCACAGTCAGTGCCAGGCCAGGAACTGACCCCTGACCTCCCGAGTATCCAGCATGTTTTCTTCAAAGTGGCCGTGCAGCCAACGGGCCCTCCTGCGTGCCCCTGGGGCCAACTGGCCTGTGGCCTCCTCCGGGCACAGTGGAGAGCGTGCTCTGAGCAGTGAGAGGGCGTCACTGGCCAGAAGGGCTGATGGCTGATGCTGACCACTGACCCCCGCTGCCTCCCAGTCACCTACACAGTAAGTCCCACGCGGCCACAGGAAGGACCGGGCAGGGCCCACGGATACCTTAAGTTACCGAACACAACCAGTGCCTACAGCTGGGTGGTGAAATCCCAGTGGAAGTGTTCTTCTGTTCGTGTGGCATTCATTTCCTCAAACGTTGCTTGAAAAGTCAAGAGCAAAACGGTCCCAAAGTAAGACTAGGGTTAGCCATGACAAGGGAGGCGCTTGTCAGAAACAGTTACCTGATTGTTGTACTTCAGAGACCGAAACAGTTACCTGATTGTCGTACTTCAGAGACTGAAACAGTTACCTGATTGTCGTACTTCAGAGACTGAAACAGTTACCTGATTGTCGTACTTCAGAGACTGCGTCCCGACCAGAAACCGGATGGCATCTGTCTCCGCCGTCTGCGGGGTCAGCGCCCGTGCCTGCGGGAGAAGGAAGTGCACACCTTTACCGCCCTGGACTCCACTGGTCACAGACACGCGGCCCCCGCCTCCCGCCCCGGATGTGTACGTGGAAGCGACTGTAGGTGGGTACAAACATTCAGCAAAGTGTGTTTCAATAAAGCCATGATTGTCAACAGTGATAGACTGCCCAGAACCAATCCCAGCATGTCATCGTTGCAGGAGTTTTACCGAACGGTTGGTGAAGCGTGGGGAGTCAACAGGGTGGAGTCACATGGATTTGCCTGTTGGAACGGCTAACAGGCACTTCCCCCAAACCTGAATAGGACTGTTAGCTGCCAGGCAGCTCAGGGCACTTTACTGCCTCCTGTTGGCCAAACACCTGAACAGCTGCAGGCTGTCCCCCAATCTGACAATGTTTGTGTTCTATCCTTCGATACGTACCCTTTGGCGTGTATGTCTCCACCTCGCCTTGGGACAAATCGTGTTTAATAAAAGCACGTGGTCCTGAGACAAGGAGAGCCTTCTATAATAGCTCCCTCAGCTGAAGCTCCTCTGACCCCCAATGCCTTTCAAAACTCTCTCTCCTCCACAGACACACAGCCCTTTCTCCCGAATGCTGAACACTTTGTAAGGCTGGGAAAAAGGACCCCGGCAATAGATGGGTTGAACTCATTTTTCTTCAGCAGAATGGCAGACAGTGGCTCCCGCAAGGCAGAGCAGGCGTGGTAAACCGAGGCCTCTGCAGAGGCGGGAGAGGATCCGCCACTCTTGCTGCCCTCCAGCCATGGGCCCGGCTTCTGGCTGCACCGCACTGGCCCTGTGAGAGCGCACTGACCACCAGGGGGAAACTCCTGCATTGAGCATCCGCCCCCTGGTGGTCAGTGAGTGTCATAGCGACCAGTCCTTCTGCGATCAGGCCAAAACTGGCTCTTCAACATCCCCTCAGGTGTCCCAGATTGTGAGAGGGCGCAGGCCAGGCTGAGGGACTCCACCGGTGCACTATCAGGGCCTGGGAGGGATGTGGGAGGTTAGCCAGTTGGGGAGGGACCGCAGGAGGGCTCCAGGGCGAGTCCGGCTGGTCTTGCTCAGTCCCAATCTGCTGGACCCCAGCAGCAAGCTAACATACCAGTCAGAGCATCTGCCCCCTGGTGGTCAGCGCGCGTCATAGCAAGCAGGTGAGCAGCCTCAGCACCTCATTAGCATATTATGCTTTGATTGGTTGAAGGCTAACCAGTCGACCAGACACTTAGCGTGTTAGGCTTCTATTATAGAGGATGTGTCTCGCCCAGCTTTCCAAAGGAAAGCCATGGCCTCTTGGCCACAGAGCTGCCTTCTCACCTGCCATCACCACTAGTGAACCAGACCAGAGAGGCGATGGAGATGCTGAGCCAAGAGCGCAGCAGGTTAGAACCATGGGAATGTGCCATCAGGTCTTCTCCGTCGCAGGAGGCACCAAAACCGGAACCGGAGTCTGAACTGAGTACAAGGAACTCCCTCACTACGAGGTTCCTCTCTCTACCCCATCCCATCCTCCCTTCCACTCTCTCTAAAAGTGAATGAAAAAAAATATCCCCGGGTGAGGATTAACAAATACATACAGCCCAGCTTGTGTGGCCCAATGGTTTTTTTGTCTACCATGAACCAGGCAAACACAGGAGGATGGAATCCCTTTGGGGGGACACAGGAGGATGGGATCCCTTTGGGGGGACACAGGAGGATGAGATCCCTTTGGGGGGACACAGGAGGATGGGATCCCTTTGGGGGGACACAGGAGGATGAGATCCCTTTGGGGGGACACAGGAGGATGGGATGCCTTTGGGGGGACACACAGGAGGATGGGATCCCTTTGGGGGGGAGTGGGGAGACACGGGATGATGGGAACCCTTTGGGGGGACGCCAGTGGGAGAGCAGCCTGTGTTCGGGTCCCAGGCTGTGCCCAGCTGCTCCGGGCTCTGACCAGTGCGCCGGTCCGCAGGCTGTCAGCCGCACTCGGAGCCGGTGCGGGGCAGCGAGCACTCTTCCAGGCTCGGGAGGCGTCACTGTCAGCCCTGAGCGACCGGAGAAGCCGGAGCTCCCGCCCCGGAGCCGGCGCCCCGGGCCGCCGGGGAGGAGGAGGGAGGCGGCGGGCGGGCGCGCTTCCCGCCGGCCCCCGGACGGCCAGCTCCTCCGCCCCGCAGCCTCCCGGCCCGGGCAGACAGGGAGGCGGGACCGCGCCGGCCGCGCTCCGCAAACCGGACCCGGGGCCGGGGGACGCACCTGGAACTCCAGCCCGTAGATGACCGGAGCGTCGTCCTCCATGCTGCCGCCTCCCCGCGCCTCAGCGGGTCCCAGAGCCGGCGCGCCCCCTGCGCCGCGCGAACAGGTTCCGCGCCGGGCCGCCCGCGCCGAAACGGGACGCTTTCTGGCCGCCGCGGCCCCCGTAGGCTCACTTCCTGTGTTGTCCTGTCGCGTCATCGCCGGCGGCCAATGGCGGCAGTACGCGGCTGATGCGCATGCGCATCGGAACCCATCCGGGCTCTCTGCCTCTCCGCAGGCCCCGCGAGGCGGGTTTGTGGGAGGGGCGTCATCTGGGGGCGGGGCCTCGCCTGCACAGTGCTACCCCCACCTCGCCACTAGGGGCCGCCAGAGAGTCTCCTGCGGGAAGCCCAGGCTCCATCATGCCAGAATCGAGCACCTGGGGCAGTGGCACTGTCCTTTGTTGTCATTAGTTCTTTCTCACGGGAGGACGAATGCTTTCCATCCACTGCCATGAACTCCTTGGCTCCAACCTTAACACTAAAGAATCAAACTTCCATTCATGCTTCTATTTACCGAAGATGGGGCGCTAGGATTCGATTCGTGGGGCAGCTAGGATGTGCCAGGCAGCTAAGATGGGTGGGGGGCCTAAAGGAAGAAAAAGAAGAAACGGCGGGGTCTGGTTTGGTGTTTGGCTCGGCTGTATTTCAGCACCTAACGAATGACGTGCCTGGTGAAGTTAAGGCAAGATGGATATTTACTGGTGAATGAAGGAATCTGGGTGCCAAACATCTCACAGATATGCTTTCTTAGAGGCAAAAAGGCAAATGGGCTCAATAAAGAAGATCTAAGTTGATCTTTGTCAGGGAAAAAATATCGGCCTAGGACTTGACTACCCACTATAACCTGTTTGTAGTTTAAATATTTAATTTTCAAACCATCTTTTGTGGTTCCTTTAGGTCTCTGAGTTTGCAAGACTGCCACGCAGGCCTCCCCTTAGCTTGTCAGGTTAGCATGTGGCTCCTTTCGTTCATAGCTCCTAGGGTGCTTTGGCCCCAATGAAAAAAGCCTAACTGTACCTTCCAGCTGCGCCCGGGCTGCAGGTTTGCCTGTTGCAGCAGTCCAGGTTTAGGATAACCTCCGCTGCAGACCCCAACTCTGGGCTGCTCGCCCCGCCCACTCCCCGCCCGGGTCACACCCCCGGGCCAGGCCCCGCCCACTCCTCAGCCCGGGATCGCATCCAGGCTCAGGCCCCGCCCCATTGCCCCGCCTCGTTCACATCTCCGGGCCCCGCCCCCGGTTGCATGAACCGGAAGCTCAATGCGCTTCCGGCAGCGACCTTTGGGAGGGCGGGGAGGAGGTTGCACTGGGCATGCGCGCAGGAGCGGCACGCAGGCGTGCGCAGGCGCCGCAGTGGCCACGCCCCCTCCTTCCTCCGCCTCCTCACCAACGGCCCTGGCCCGGCCCGGCCCGGCCCCTGGACCCTGCCCCGACCGGCGGGCGGCAGGTGAGGACCCCGGGCTGCAGCGACGGGTCGGGCGGTCCCGAGCTCCCCGGTCCTCCGCGGGCTCCGCAGGCCGGTCTGCCTCGCGGACTTTGGCGCGTCGTGGCGGGAGGCGTCGGCACAGGCGAAGGGTGGGCGAGTAGGAATGGGGTCCTGGGATCAGGCAGAGGGGGACCGGGGAGCAGGCAGAGAGGGACCGGGGAGCAGGCAGAGGGGGACCGGGGAGCAGGCAGGGGGGGACCGGGGAGCAGGCAGAGAGGGACCGGGGAGCAGGCAGGGGGAGAACCGGGGAGCAGGCAGGGGGGGACCGGGGAGCAGGCAGGGGGGGACCGGGGAGCGGGGAGCAGGCGGGGGAGAACCGGGGAGCAGGCAGAGGGGGACCGAGGAGCAGGCAGGGGGGGACCGGGGAGCGGGGAGCAGGCGGGGGAGAACCGGGGAGCAGGCGGAGGGGGACTGGGGAGCAGGCGGAGGGGGACCGGGGAGCAGGCAGAGGGGGACCGGGGAGCAGGCAGGGGGAGAACCCGGGAGCAGGCAGGGGGGACCGGGGAGCAGGCGGAGGGGGTCCGGGGAGCAGGCGGAGGGGGACCGGGGAGCAGGCGGAGGGGAACCGGGGAGCAGGCAGGGGGGGACCGGGGAGCAGGCAGGGGGGGACCGGGGAGCAGGCAGAGGGGGACCGGGGAGCAGGCGGGGGGGAGGGAAGACCGGGGAGCAGGCAGGGGGAGAACCGGGGAGCGGGCAGGGGGGGACCGGGGAGCAGGCAGGGGGGGGACCGGGGAGCAGGCAGAGGGGGTCCGGGGCGGAGGGGGACCGGGGAGCAGGCGGAGGGGGACCGGGGAGCAGGCGGAGGGAGACCGGGGAGCAGGCAGGGGGAGAACCGGGGTGCAGGCAGGGGGGGACCGGGGAGCAGGCAGAGGGGGACCGGGGAGCAGGCAGGGGGAGGACCGGGGAGCAGGCAGGGGGGGACTGGGGAGCAGGCAGGGGGAGAACCGGGGAGCAGGCAGGGGGAGAACCGGGGAGCAGGCAGAGGGGGGACCGGGGAGCAGGCAGAGGGGGACCGGGGAGCAGGCAGGGGGGGACCGGGGAGCAGGCAGGGGGGGACCGGGGAGCAGGCAGAGGGGGACCGGGGAGCAGGCAGGGGGAGGACCGGGGAGCAGGCAGGGGGGGACCGGGGAGCAGGCAGAGGGGGACCGGGGAGCAGGCAGGGGGAGAACCGGGGAGCAGGCAGGGGGAGAACCGGGGAGCAGGCAGGGGGGGACCGGGAGCAGGCAGGGGGAGCCGGATCTGCTCCGGCCTCCCAGGTCCGATAACCCGTCTCGCTCCCACTTTGCCGCTTGAGCACAGGCGCAGGCGGAGACCTGCCGCCCGGCCCAGCGCCTGGAGGTGAAGGGAGGGTGTGGGAGAGCCTTCGGTCCCGGTAACGTCGGTGATGGCGGCAGCAGCCTGGACAGAGGTGTCCACCGCACCCAGTCCAGATAGAAACCCTGGACCACAGATTCCGCCCTTCTGTGGCCACTGAAGGACAGCCTATCTTCCGGGTTCAGATATTTCACTACTGCTTGTTTTGGGGCTGTATCGTCTCAGCAGGGACGCTGGGGTGAGAAGGATGTGCTGTTACTGACTCCAGGGTGTTGAACTGAGTTGGAAGTCTGAGATGCCGAGGGGAGGTGAATGGGTTGAACAGGAAAACCTATCCTCTGCTACTCCGTGCGATTGGCACACCACCCAGGAAAGCGATGTGACACTACCTGGCGAAGATGAAGAAGTATATTGTGTGGCCCAACACACACACTTTTATTTTTTGCGTTTTTACAGGGAGTGGAAGAGAGAGGGAAAGAACGAGAGAAACATCGATGTGAGATAGACACCTAGGGCAGTAGGGGTTGCTCTGGCTGTTGTGCTTTCCATGGGCTTAAAGTAGCCGGGCCAGCATGGCTCAGTGGCTGAGCATTGACCTATGACCCAGGAGGTCAGGGTTCGATTCCCGGTCAGGGCACAGGCCCAGGTTGTGGACTTGATCCCCAGTGTAGGGCATGTAGGAGCGGTCAATTACTCTCTCTTCCTCTCCCCTCCTCTCTGACATCAATAAAATGTATTTAAAAAGAAGAAAGAAAAAGGATGACATGAGCTTAACAGTGACTGGGAGGAAAGCTGCTGAGGTTGGTGTATCTGCCTTTGTTTCAGGGACCATGGAGGACGCTCCGCGCGCTGAGCAGGGCCTGACGGCGGAGCCCCGGCTGGCCGAGGGGGGAGCAGAAAGCACCGCCCCGGAGGCCCCCCAGCAGGAACCCGGGCTGCTCTTCCAGGAGGAAACCATCGATCTCGGGGGCGACGAGTTCGGGTCCGAGGAGAACGAGACCGTCTCGGATGATTCCAATAACTTCGCAGACAAGCTCAGCGAGCACATGATGGAGAGCGTCCTCATTTCGGATTCTCCGAACAACAGCGAAGACGACACTGGCGACCTGGGCGGGGCGCAGGACGTCCGGGAGCCTGCGGGAGGCAGCCATGCCCTCAGCCAGGACCGTGTCCCAGGCACCGGCGCCGAGGACACTCCCAGTCCTGACGGTGAGAGTGACGGAGACACAGCGCCTCAGGACGGCTCGGAAGGGACTCCTGGCACCGGGGCGAGCTTGCAGGGAGTCGTGGAGCCAGAAGGGAAAGGCTTGCCCGCCTGTGAGCATGCAGACGCCGGGGAGCCGGGACCCCGGCCCCAGGGCTCGCCCCCTCCCAAGGACGAGCCGGTGCCCGTGTGCACCATCTTCAGCCAGGCCCCGGCCATGGCCACCCAGCCCAGCCCCTTCCTGCAGGACGGCTTCGAGTCCCAGATGGTGAAGTCGCCCAGCTTCAGCGGCCCCAGCCAGCCGGCCCCCCGGACACCCCCGCCCGCGGTGCAGCCCAGCCCCAGCCTGAGCACCTTCTTCGGGGAAACCGCCAGCACCAGCTCCCTGGCCTCGGACTTCTTTGACTCCTTCACCACCTCCACGTTCATCTCCGTCAGTAACCCCCACGCCGGCACGGGGGTCCCCGGGCCACTGTCGCCACTCGCCTCCCCGAGGACGGAGCGCGCCGAGCCGGCTGTCCCCGCGGCTCCGCTGGAGATCCCGCAGTCCCCCCAGCCCTTCTCCCAGATCCAGGCCGTGTTCGCCGGGAGCGAGGACCCCTTCGCCACCGCCCTGAGCGTGAGCGAGATGGACCGCCGGAGCGACGCCTGGCTGCCCAGCCCGGCGACCCGGGACATCCTGGTGTCGGTGGCCACGCAGCAGTACAGCGCCGTGTTCGTGGACAAGGAGAACCTCACCATGCCGGGCCTCAAGTTCGACAACCTCCAGGTGAGGCGGCTCCGGCAGAGGAAACGCTCGGCGATCCTCCCCCAGGCAGCGGGTCATTCGGGTGCTGGTGGGCGGCTGAGTTAGTGGCCGCAGCCGCCCTGCCCTGACCTCACACATCCTCCAGGGCGACGCCATCAAGGACCTGCTGCTGCGCTTCGTGGGCGAGAAGGCGGCGGCGCGCAGGCAGGTGGCGGACGCCAGTGCCGTGGAGCAGTCCTTCGTCGGCCTGAAGCAGCTCATTGTGAGGAGCGGGCGCTGGGTGGTCCGTCGTGTGTGTGTGTCTGTGTCTGTCTGCCTCCACAGTGTTCTCCTGGGAGCTCGCTGCCTGGCATATATCACCAGAGCCCTGCACAGAC